TAAGTATCTGTAAAAATGTGCAATATTTTGTTGTTTACACTGAATTTCCACTCGGTCTTACATAAAATATAAGAGGAGGATTTTAAGACATATACAGCTGGAAACAACCTCAGTCTTCTTCAGTGTTTTCCTCCCCCATATGTTCTAAATTTAGTGCAAGTACAAAAAAAAAAACCGAATACATTTCTAGCAATGTATTAGGCCTCACTGGCAAACCTCAAGAGTCTTTCCTACAAGATGTGGTTGTGATTGTAGGGTCTCTGTACCGTGCTGTTGTGTTCAGTTCTACGGTTTGAACACTGAAGGAGGGACTCTGGGTCAGCACTCTTTTCATGACAGATTTAAACTACATCAGAATGAATGAATACATAGTTTCCTTTTATTTATTTGGGGACATTGAATCTGTATGGCTCTGTATTAACTTAGTCATCTTTTTGAAAGCTTAGATGCTTGTCTTCTGTATGTGTTTAAAATATGTGCCAGGAGTCCTGTTTGCTGCAAATGAAATAATCAGATGAACAGATTAGCAAATCATAGACCTGGCACAATGTTTCCATCTGAGCTCAGATTAAGGTATTCAGCATAGATTAATTAGAAGGTAGTTTCAGGATTGGACATCAATCGCAAACAAGGCCAGTGACAATGCAATCTAATTTTCTACCAGACACATAACCCCGGGATACCAACACCTCAACATCAGGACCATTAGCTCAGCAGCATGATTTAGATAACAACCATCCATCACTATGTCAGGAAATAAAACTACTAAAGTTGATCTGACAAAATTCTTGAAAGGGGAAGCAGAAACCCTCCCCACTGCTCTAGTAAAGGGAAGTGAATAGAGCTTGAAGATGTGATTTGTTTAATCTGAGTTTCATTGATTCACTGCTTTTATGCTAAACCTAGTTATAGCACTGCAAAACTCTTTCAATATAGGTCATATGATCTACATATTGGTTCATCTCACCAAAAAAAAAAAGAAAAAAAAGAAAATTGAATTAAGATATAAAGTTATTTCTGTTTTAAGATTTTTAAGAATACTTTTGGTCACAAATTACAGTGGAATCAGTTGCCAAAGCGCCATGTGCTGTGCTAAATAATAAATAAAGTCTGGGTTTTCAAACAGTAATTGAAAGTGCTCTGACAAAGAGTGAAAAAATGATATTTTCTGCTAATGACAAAGCAGGAATAGGTTCAGGATATTTTTAAAGGGACATTCAGATCATGGAAATTACCTGCCATCACGGTGAGAAATGAGAATCTGGCTACATACGGTGCCAAGGTCTAACTCCAGGCTACTCTTGTACAAAAGAAGTAACTATTATGTTTTGCTGCCCAGAAAGAAATATTTGACTGATTAATATTCTCAAGATCGTATGTAAATACTAAGGCTGACATTAAAAATGGTCGGCTCTTCACTTTTGAAAACCTATAGTCATTATGGCATTATGGAGTTAGACGATGCCTGATCCTAAGGATGGTGATTTTAAAACATCTAGGTTTCTTACAGGCAACAGCAACACATGTATTTCAGTCCGGATATCAACAAAGCACTGGCAACCTTTGTGAAATCATCAGAGGTGGTGTATGGCTGGCCTGGTTATTGCTACTTAGAGACCAGGGGGCATCGGAGACCAGGGGGCGTCCTTTTCAGCAGATAGTCCTTAGGAGACAGAGACCAGTCTCTGCTCATACTCATTGTGAAAAAGAAACAGAGCAGGATTGGGGGTCAGATGTCAGACCACATCAAATGTGTTTTTCACACTGATCTTTCTGGTCTTCCATTTTATAGACTGACTGAAATGTCAGGGAACCATTTCCAGTTTGTGATTACATCACAGACTGAACGGTAAAAAAAAACAACAGGTGTACAGCCACAAGTTATTCAGACTGCCATCTGTTATTGATTTAATGCTAAAGTCCCTCTATACAACCATTATGGCTAAAGCTGTTAGTCAGATCATGCTGCAGTATTCTGTATGGAGACCTTTAGGATTTCAATTGTACATTAGACCTTGTTATGGTGTGAGAACATCAATAACACGAAATCCGTTGAACTAAATTTTTTGAATGGCTTTTCAACACGTCTCTGAGCTCAGCAAATGCTTACTACTGTAAAGTTTGTCCACATCATCTACTGATAAACTCGCCCAGGTGTGGCATGCCCTGTGTGAACCGTGCCGTCATTGTTAGAACTGGCCCGGATGTGGTTGACATCTAATTTGCAGTGCCAGAGGTTTGCCAGATGTTTCCAGCAGAATGCCAGATCCAGGCCAGGTTGGTCTGCTACGTGGGATGTGTCTGGAAAACATAATACTGACCCTTAAACTTGAAGATGTCTGTCAAGTTTGTATTAGACTATGAATTATCTTTGATATTAGACTTCTTTGGCATAGAGCGCGTTAAGTGGTCAAAATAAAAATGCTTGAAAATTTCAGGCTACTTACCTACTTACCTGACACATTTTATGCTTTCACATCTCCCATCATTGGCTTCATGATCTGACAGATAACTCTGCCCGAGCTGTCGTAGCTGAGCTAAGACTTGTGTTGTGTCGGTATCCTTCAGCTTTTGTTTTACTTGTTCCCTTGAAGCAAAGCCACGAGTTCTTTGATATTCATGGGGCAATCTTCCTCACTTTTCACAAATGTCCCCAGGTTCCCTGTGTTGCAGGAAGAAAAACATTCACCTGTTACTGTTAGACTCATTCGTTCAACCCACAATAAAGATCTTTTTAATTAAGAACATAACCTGTAACAATATACAGTTCTGTGTGATTGTCTATTGTCATGTTCTGCATTGTCATGCATGCATTGTCATGACAATAGATGCATGCATTGCAATGCAGAACATGACAATAGACAGTAATGTTCTGCATGCAAGGCATGTTGTAATTTATTTATATATAACACCGCCAATATTTTCAAGTCCTTAGGCTTTATGACTCTTGTTACCTTTAAAATTTTGTAGCACTAAACTGGATAAGTGTGAGAATTTATGTTTAGTGTTGACTTGGTTTCTTTTGTGTTCCACTTCTGTGACTCTGAATGTGGAGGTGTTCAGTCCATCTCACTCTGTGGTCATTAGTACTGAAGGCTGAGGGCTGAACCAGGCCCAAGGGATTAAACAGAGATGGATTCTGTGTCCGGACTGTGTCCCAAAGGAAAGACCAAACAAAGGGACTGGTTCAAGAAATAGAATCTATTTGTTTGCACTCATGTCTTTTCTGCTACTAATTCGATATAAAAGCTTTTTATTTTTCCTTTATCTGAGTTTTCAATTTTGGTTTTGAAAGGATGTCTATCTGTTTCATCTGTTTGCATGCTTTCTCTAATCCTGCACCTGTTTTTTTTACTCAAACAAGCTTTGCTGTAAGCAAATCTTTTTCAAATCCTGTACACCTGTTATGCTTGTGTTCTGCTATGTATGCTTAGAAAAAAACAATACATGGGAATTATTATCATACTCTTAATCCTTATGTAGTGTAATTTATTTTTGTAAAGTTGTCATGTTCAGTAGGTCTCATCTTGTCACCATTCGGCCAGCGTTGTTTAGAGTCTGAATGTCATAGTGTTCCTAGAACCCCTCAGTAAAGGTTTATTTGATTCTGACTTTGTAAATCACACAAGAGTACAGCAGATTTGCAAAAAATAAAATTTACTCGTACATTTTTTTTTATTTTTATCCATTAAAAATGGATGTTAATATTATGTTTATTTGGAATTCTGAATATAAGTCCAAAGACAACATTCTAGACCTTAATGCATAACCCAAAGATGTTAAACGAGAACATTGTCAGTCATTTAGAATTAAAAATGACAGTGTTGTTATAAACAATGCCTTCTGATTAGTGTTTTGATATTTGGTAACCTCAATATCAGTTCATTTAAACTCCCCATATCTCTTATTTACAGTAATAACTTTTATGAAGTTTCTCTGTTTTCTGGTGGTCCTCAAGCCCTTTATGTTGTTTTGTAGTTATTATTAGCCTCATGTCTGAGCTCCACAGCTGGTGAAATATGACACCAGAGCTCACCAAAGGGCTGCCTGATGGGGAACAATGAGAAATAAACATGGTGGATTCAAATTTGCAAGAGCTTGAATAAGATAGTATGTTATTGTGAAGCCCATAGAGTGGCCCAGTTCCTGTTGTGGCTTGCAAATAAGCGGCATGGAAACAGCCATCGGGGGGTTCATTGTCAAAGTGCAGCACTGACCTCAGGCCTTCAGCATGACATGCAAAAAAAAGATGGCAGTAGACAAGAGTCCCATGCTGCTAGCCTTTCACAAGAACTTTCTTGCACTCAGCGTTTTCCAGTAAATATCAGGGAGCACATAATATGTAATTTGTAAATATAATTTTTTTTCAATGCATGAAGAGACTTGGCACTTGCAGATTGTAGTACTAATATAGAAGATGTTCTATTTGAAGCTTGGGAGAGAGATCAACGTGCCAAATGAGTTTCTCCTTCAACAATGCTCAACTGTACTACTTAAGCTGGCATTTTATGTTATTTTGAGACAATTAAAAATGCTTTCTTTTGTCTTCAAAAAACTTATTTGGTATTAACAATTTTGAAAAGGTTACAGGGATTGTTTTTATTTATTTAATTTTTTTTTCCATCTTTTTAAGAGCCATAGCAAATGTAAACATTTGAATTACTAAAAAAGTGCCTGCATTCTAAAAACTGTTTGGTTAAAACAACCAGATTATATCTATTTTGCTAATCTATTTCTATGTCAAATATTAACTGATTCAACCCTGGATGAATATAAGATTAGTGGATTGCTTTGACTGAGATTTTATCAAGAAAAGTTGGTTTAACTCTGTGTAATGTTAATGGAATCAGTGCATTGAAAATGGCAACCCATGAAATGAACTAGCAAAGAAGTAATACTTGGGTGAAATTTATAATAATTTACTTTAATTTTATTTTTGCAATAAAAGTCTTAAAAAAGCACTGAAGTATTTGTATAACTTGGACTTCTTGTGTTTACAGGGCATCAACATTGTTGGACCTAATGCAGAGTCTCAGCCTCATCTACCTTGTGCAGCCATGTTCCAATTGGATATTGTCTTGAAGAAAGGGAAAAATCTCGCCATTCGTGACCGAACAGGTAGGAGATCTGCTTAGTTTGTGAGCTGAGGTTAATTTAGAAGGACATTGTGAATATCTTTCTCAAATCTTGTCATCTGGCCAAAGGACAGTAACTCTACCATTGTCTCTTGTGAGTGTTACAAACAGCAGAATGGTAATATTCCCACAAAATAAAGAAACACAGTTTTATGTTTAAAAAGATAAGTTTGCAGAGTTTTTTTTAAAAAAATCTATTGGTGAAAAATCTAAACAACTAAAGCAACAAAATTTTTTCTATCCCTCAACTGAAATGGGTCCTCTAAGTTTCTCTGTATCGAAATAAGAATAAAAAGTTTTGTCACTTATTATTGATTAAGTTCGGTGTCCAGACTCGGGTCCAAGGTCTGTCACGTGATTTATGAACGTGATGAAAGTTCAATTGTGAACGTTCAATCACGACAAAAACATTTTGGGGGCTTATTTTGTTCTTAAACACCATTACAAAAATGGACATAAACCTCTGTTTTCATAAGTTATGACAAGGACTTTTTTCATTGTAATGCAGATGAAAATGTATTTGTTTTTTGGTTTGTGTTCTGAACTTTATTTTGATTTTTTTCTGGATTGTGTGTTGTTGAGTTTTGTGCATCTTCTGGAATTCCCTCCTATCAGTTTCCCTCAGTTTTTTCCCAAAAAATTCATACCCCTTAAACACTCAAGTTATATTTATTTAAGCTGGAAATTGGTTTCAGAGAAATGAGAGTGGGATCTCTCAGAAGACAATAAAACAATGTAAAACCTCCATTTAAAACTGACAGTCTTTAGTCACTTCCTGAATTTAATAGATTGTATATCAATATATTAAAACTCTAAGTTAAGCTTTAACTATCCAATGATTATTCTATACCTTATGGCAATTCAAAACAGGAACATGTAAAGAAATGTTCCTTATTTAAATTAACATCTGCACTCAATGTAAATTGGACCTGACAGTTTTATTAGCGGCTTCTGCAGTTGCTATGACAACAGCAAAAAAAAGAAAGCTGCTCTCCCCTCTGCTATACATTTTTCATCACTGCTTGTCCACCTGGATAATGAGCAGTGAGGTGCAGACCTCACATGTCCTGAGTCCATCAAGACAGCTCATTATGGAGAGGAGAAACCGGGAGACCCGGGCCAGTAGCAAAGATCGACGTTTAGCAGCTGCAATTTAGCAAGGGGAAGTCGACAGCTAGCTGTTGGTCAAGTTGGTCAACTGCTAAGGAGGCAATCAGAAAAGAAAATCCCTCCTGTCACCCACGGGTCAAACAACAGCAATTAAAAGCAGTTATGTAGTTGTTTCATCCAGCTCGCCCCCGTACGACTCCAAGTTTACGGTACTAACCCTCGCCTTAGTTTTCTTCCCCTTGCTAAATAACACATACTTGCACTCCCCACTTTTCAATTGTTGCTGTTTTACAGCAAATCAAAGAGGTAAAATAAGAAGGCAGTGTTTGAATACATTTAATGGTTTACTGGTTTAAGAAATGTCTTGTTTTTCTGGAACGAAAAAATAATTTTAATCAATTCTTTACAGGTAAAATTACTTGGGTACACCTGACGAGCATCAGGAGAGACAATCATCTTTCAGCATTAAGGCACATATCTGTAGCTTAGCCTTGTGCTTAAGATGGCTAAGCTGCTGATGCATTAGCTGCCTGCCATGTTCTGTTTTCTTCCGCTCAAGAAGTGAGCATAAGAAAATCCTTCGTCCCTTCTTATTTATATCACTGTAACATGCATTTTTCAGTATCCCTGAAAGCTCATAAGCCATTTACCATCAGCTTTGTTGTTTCAGTGTTTGTCGTTTGCATTCCTAAATTACCAATATTTTAAACATTTTTCAAATGATTATGAATGTAATTGAATGAGAAGAAATAGGAAAGATCAGTCCTAAGCTGTCTATCCTCGGGTTGTTTCCTGTCATTCTCTGCCTTTTTAAATTTATGTCTGGATCTCATAAAATTGCCTTGAGTCATAAAACGGAGTAGATAAATTGTAGCGGGAGGAACATTATTGTTGTAGCCTTTTATCTAGAGAAAAACATGAACAGCGAGTGAGTGACTCATATTTGTCGTGTTTGGCTCTGTAGACAGTATTAGCTGTCAGGCATCGTCTTTAAAATGCCTTATCAGCAATATCCTGTCGTTTCCCCAGAGCCCTAACCCTGTCTTAGCTGTCATGCCCTGGATAAAAACAGATCACCCTCTGTGTTTTCAGTAAAACACCTCATGATGAAGCTTGTTGCTAGTTTTTCAGTTTTCATTCTTGCTGTTCATTTGTGGCTGAGAATGTAAACTTGACGTCCCCAACCATTTTCTCATAGATGTCCCCCTGCTTGTACCTGTAAAAAACTTGAAAACCCAAAACAAGACTTAAGTGTTCCCATTTTAAAAAAATTGAGTTGCTTAATAATGAATCAGCTGGGGATGGAGGGGCACAGTCGCTCAGGCATATTGTACAAAGTCAGATGTCTGGATACAATACACAAATGCTCAAGATGGTAGTATCTGCATCACTGCCTCTTTGCCATTCTTCCTGATATTTCTCTGTGTCTTGGAAACAGTACAAGAGAAAAAATGTGGAATAAAATCCAAGCACTGGGGTTAAGTGGGTCTATATAAAGTGCCTTATAAAATGTTCAAACTCCTTTGGCCTTTCCAGCTACAAACTTATATAGATTTTTATTGGAATCTTATGTGACGGACCAACATGAAGTAGGACATTATTGAAATGGAAAGAAAAATGCACATGGTTTTCACATATTTTTACATAGTAAATCTAACATGTGTCTTGTGAATTGGTATCACGGTCTGTTAAGTTTTTGCATGGAAATAAAATAAAAAGCATCTTGATAAAGAAATAAGTCGCATCTGTTTGCACTTTATTTTTTTAAAAAAATCTATATATATAGGTATATAGCAGCTTTGCAAAGATCTGAGTTTTTTAGTGAGCAAACTGCTTCAAGACACCTTCCAGAAATAATGTTGTGGAGTAGGGAATAGAAGTATTATGTTATTGAAACAAATTCTCAGGCTGTGAATATCTAAGGAAGCACTGAACAAGTCATCATTAAACACCACAAAGAGTGTGTTTAACTGTAATGTTAAGTAAAGATGGGATTCATTGAGATCTGTGGTAGTTCTGGAGAAGCTGAAGAGCTCAGCAGGGCAAACCTATTGACAGAACAACTTATACTCAAGTACTCCTCAAATCTGATTTGTATGCAAGAGTAGCACTCGAAGCACGCACTGCCTTTTGTACAATATGGTGTTAACAGCACTGTACTATGGGAATGCTTCTCCTGAAAATGGACAGTAAAGCCTGTCAGCTAGTGGAGTTTGATACAGGGTAATCTTTTTTTGAGAACCTGTCAGAGAGTTTAAAAGACTTCATACTTTACATATAAGCGTAAAGTATGCCAGAGCTACAACATAGTAACTTAGAGCAAAGCATACTCCTGTGTGAAAATGACATAGCCCAGGCCAAATGTGAATCACATCTTGTCTGAGTCTTGTCATTGCATATATTGCTTGAATTTATATGCTACTTTCCGATGTTTTATTGTAAAATATTTGAAAGTCGTTATTTTCCTTCCCCTTTAAAATTATGTACATCTTTGTGTTGGTCTGTCACCAAAAATGCCAACACGATTAACTGAAGTTGGTCGTGTGCCATTATAGAAAAATTCAAGAGGTGTGAATACTTTTGCTAAGTTTTTAAAACAGCACAAAGAACTACTTGATACATGCTTTGCATTATCTGTATTTCTTTATGTTCTGTTGAGCTGCAGAAAGCTGGGTCTAATACTTCCAACTTTGGTTTTAATCACAATCCTGTTATATTGTGTAAAAGATTAATTTTGGGGGAAATTAGATTATCTTCATCATGGAGCCAGTTTGTAATTACTCTATCTCTGAAGCAGGTGTTCAGGTTAGATGCCAGCATCTTGCGGTAGAGTGTTTTGGTCCTGACTGCCATACACAAAACATCGTTTATAGCAGACTGCATTCTGGGTAATGAGAAAGCGTAGAGCAAAAGCCATTCATCAGTCCTGACACTACATGAAGAGCTGGAACTTTCTCATTCTCTCTCTTTCTTCCTCTCTCTCTTTTTCTCTTTCTTACACACATACACACACAACCACACGTGTGTGAATTTGTCCTTAAGTGCAACTCAAGCATGACTGAAGGTTTTATGGGGATCTTTACTGCTTTTTCTCATCTCTGGTGCTCTCTTCTCTGACAAGTGCCAGTTGGTCTCGTCCATATTATGGTTCTTAATGAGATATTTTGACAGGTAATGTTTCGGTGTAGGTCCTCCTACAGTTATTGAACGGCTAGTGCTAGGTAAATAGGTTTACTTGAGGTCAGAGGTGATGCAAATTATAGCCACTTGTCCCCTTGTTTGAGTAATAGAATTGAAATTATTGCATGAGATAAAATCTAAAGTCTTACACATGGTATTAATTTTGGTAATTTTATATATTAACTGTGAAACAGACACATCTCGTTGTTTCTTCATTTTAAAGTTTAATCAACTTTGTTTTATTTTGAAATGATTTCTAATGATGCAAATGTAATGTTCAGCAACTTTCAGACCTCCGATGTTTAGTTCATGCAAAAGATGGTCAAGTTTTTTTATAATCTTTATGGTTCCACCGTTGTCTTTTTGGAGACAGTTTTTGTCTTAGCATTTTTTTTTTAATTCAGAATTTAGAAACATGAATTCTCCTGAAGCCACTGTGCTTAGGGTGGTCGGTGACATTCTCAAATTTACATAATGTGGATTTACAGTCCTGGTTCTGGTAGGTGCTACCTCTGCACTTCTTCCTGAATGTTTTCCTGTGGATCGTAACTTACTGGAAACCTTTCATTACCTCGGCTGTTTTCCTGCGTGCGTTTTGGCACACAGGAAACCTGGGTTACTTACATGGATTACGTCCCCTGACACAGAGAAGGTTTGCCTTCAGCAGGACTTCTGTTATGACCTGGGAACACA